AAAGATTTTTTTTAGCTTTGACACATTGAACATTACCAAAAATATCAGAGAATTTCAGAACTATGAGGGTTAAGAACAAAAGATGTTATTTTAATTGCTAGTAAATAAACAAAAACTAACCAAACAAAAACTACCAGTACTCCATCTGTCATCTGCTTCATCATCATAAAATTGGATCTGCCTTGGTATTTACCCAAATTTCTTTTTGGCTGATGCAATAGGAAAGTTCTAAAGTCTTGAGCACTTCACAGTAACATAGTAGTGAGCTTATTTGCATATTTCTAAGGCTGAGGCTGTGTTCGTGCTCCAGATCAAGATGCGTGTGAGGGTAAGTGGGGAAAAGGAGGAAGGAATATAAGAAACAATTGAAGTCTGTGAAAATTATGACTTGTACTTGGTAGGTGATCAGTACATCATAGATTTATGAAGCCTTAGATTTGAGGCATAACAATCCTTTCCTTTAAAGATGAGGCAAAGGGCTCAGGTATATGATGTGAGTTGCTTGTGATCACAAAATAACTTAGAAAGATGATGAGGAAGATGATAATGGGTAGAGGGTGGAGAATTAGAATCCTATATTATTTTTGAATATTCAGGAGAAGAAAATTGATTTATGACCAGATCTTATTTTCTTTTCTTGGTTGATATTTGTCCCAGATTTATATTTATGGCCAATAGCAAAATGTCTAAAGTAGAAAGCTCTGATCATACTGTTAGGGAAGTCTTAGAAACAAGCTGAAGAGTGGAGTGAACTATAAGACGCCAGGACAAAGTTATATATCTAATTCAACATTGAACTCTGAGATCAATGTGTTCCCCCACAGTAGCATTATCCCACCAGTAGCATTCTGTCACTCATGACGTCAAGATGCTCCTTGAATTCTATTACTAATGGAAAACATGAACTAGGAAATGTGATATGAGGAAGTGGCAAAGACCAAAGGAATCTCTATGTTGGGGTTATGGCTTCAGCCAAGGGAAAGCATGAGAAACTGTGAAGGGAAATTGAAGAATTTGGGCCATAGCAAGATATCTTCCTCAAGAGGCATGATGTCCTATATGATCTCACTGAAGTTGGATTCTTTTTACTATTTCATTGTGTTCTGGTTTCAGGTAACAAATAAGAAATTGAACTAACTTAGGAAAAGGGGGATTCAAATAACAAAGCCACAGAAAAAGCTTGAACATTCTTCAGACCTTCAGAAAGAGCTTGTGTTCCTTTTCTTCTTTTTTTTTTAAGATTTTTTATTTTATTTATTTGAGATAGAGCAAGTAAAAGAGCACAAATGGTGGAGAGGGATAGTGGGAGAGAGAGAAGCAGAATCCCAGCTGAGCATGGAAGCTGACACAGGCTGGATCCCAGATCCCAGATCCCAGGACTGGATTCCAAGGTCATGACCTGAGCCTGAGAGGAAGGCAGATGCTTAACCAAGTGAGCCACCCAGGCACCCACTTGTGCTCCTTGCAAATGGCACCTTCATTCTTTCTCACTGCAGCTTGGTCATCCCTACATAGAAGGAAACCTAGGTCAGTTCTGGACTTTTTTTTTTTTTAATCTCAAAAGCTATCAGTGGATGACTAATAGGAACTCTTTCTTTCCCATGCACAAAAAATCTCAGGGAAGAGACTCCGTGGGAGTGACCATCTGTCAACCAGTTAACAATGATCAAGGCATTTTGATTGGTCTAACTTAGTATTTTGAGTGGTCCAACTTGGAACAAAGGAGTTGGGGGTGTTGTACCATGGAGGTAGATCAAAGTTAAAAATGTAGAACTGAGGGAAGGAGAGTTCCTAGAAAAGGGATACCGAGCAGACAAATCTGGATGCAAACCTGTGGTTTTCTAAGTAATATGTTGGGTTATTCAGATTTGTTTTTTTCCAGGTTGAAAATAATAGCAACATATTTTTGTTAATTCAGCTGATAAAGAATTATTATAAAGACACATGGAAAAGTGAAGAAATATAGAAATCCTCTTCAGAAATCCTCTAGCAATCACAGAGGATTTAGCGTGTCCTGTCTACATCCAGTAGCAAATGTCCCCTACTCTGCTGTTCCTTTCTTATGATGACTCAGTTGAGATGGGAAACCAATGAGACCAGACACAGAGAAAATTAACTGTTGACTCTAGCTCATGGATTTTACATTCTCACTTTTCCAGTTGTTCCACACAAGGTACTTCCTTCCTAAGTCTCTAGGGTCTCATATCAAATTATATAAACTTGACTCTGACTGAGCAGACCAGTCACCATCAAAAACAATATGGGATGCCTCTGTTGGGTAGAACTTTCATGCCAATTCATTTTATAGGCTGCTGGTCAGATATCCAGCTTTGGTTAGGTAGCAATCATTGTTTCAATCAGAACTTCCCAAAAATGGAGTCAAACAGAACAAACTGAAATGGGTATCACGGCAAATCATGGGCATACAAGGTAATTTAATTGGTAGATGCCTTGTACAGACTGTCAAGCATCCAAAAGAAATTGATGAAAAAATAAAAACTATCACAATGGACACAAGTAGAAAATCAAAAACAACCCAAATTATCCAGGGCATTTAATTTTTTCCTCAACTTAAGCTAAAATACACAATCAATTTCTTCAACTTCTTAAAGCTCTTATCAGAAACAAGACCTTTTTTAATATAGAAACTTAAGCTTTCCCCAAAGCAGGAAAGTTTTTTTTTTTAATTAATTTATTTTTTTATCACTTAGGTTGTTACTCTGGGGACAGAAGGAAAGTTTTAAAAAGAAGCAGTTTTCATGGAAGAGAGGTGTCTGAGCATCATCATCAAGAGCAGAAGATTTAAGGAAAGGAGACTGAGAAGAGATTGAATGAAAGGAAAGAAAATAGAGGGGGGAGGGGGATAAAAATAGAAAGCAAAGATAATCCCAAAGAGTAGTGTGCATAGTTCTGAGGCAATCAGTACCACTCTGGTCAAGTCACCATCATCTGTTCTGGGGCTTAGTTTCTCTAGGCACTAGGCTGCTTCTGGGTAAAACAGCATGCTCAGCTTGTTTGGCCTCCTCTCTGTGCCTGTTACTTGCTGTGGGCCTAAGAAAGGGAAGGCTTCAGGTTTCTGGGATGAGGCTGCTATTTCTCTCTGTTCTCAGCTCCATGAAAATTCTTAAGGGACAAGGCTATAGATAAAAGATGTGGGGGAGGAATGGGAAGGTCTCAAATGATGAGTGAGGTGGCTTGATTTTTAAGATCCCCTGATACTTTTTATTTATATATTTTCTGCTTCTAGCAAAACATAAAAAGTAAAATAATTCATACATAGAATGCCTGTGCAAATAGCAAACCAATAACCTACTACCCCCAGGAGGTTCTGGCCTCTGCCCAGGTTACAGTTTCAGAGCTGTAAAAGGCAAGGGATATGTACACTGATATGACCCAATCCCGGCATATTTTTTTATCAAGAAAGGCACAGAAACTCCCATAGTTAGCAATAAACTGGGGACTGGGGCGTGTGGACTTGCAGAGTTGATAACACAGAAGGGGCCTAAAGTTGGGTCCACTGTAGCATAAGCCTGATCATTTGCGTTTGTTATGTCCTGGCATGGCCTTAAGTTGAAGACATTGAACACCTTGAGGAGTGGAACAGTTTCTAGCCCTTCAGAACCACATTCAGAGCTTTGGACAAGAATCTGCTTAATGGCAATGAACCCCAAACCAAGTTGTCCTAGAGTCCAAGGAAAAGGTGAAAAGACTTATAAAGGCTGAAAATCAAAGGATGTAGCTATACAAATGTGGTCAGTTTGGGAGAGTGGGAATGGTGGGAGAGATGGCATAGTTGGGAAAACGGGTGATTGATTATATTCCCAGGACCACCTAACCAGCAGAGGCTACCGGTTGCTAACCACCTTTTAAATTACTTTCTGAGTGTGGAGCAGGAGAGTTTAGAGAAGGGTGAAGGCTTTATGCCCGAAGCAACGTTTTCTTTTCTTTTCTTTCTAGGTCCAGTCTGTGAATGAACACGGTGGGGCAATAGAGAAAATGGTGACTTTCTTGTTAAAAAAAAAAAAAATCCGTAAGCCACCCTCCTGTGGTCTCCGCACTCCGTAGGCCAGCTGTCTCGGGCCTCTGTTTCAGTCTATGGTCTCGGGTGAGCCCTTTAAATCCAGCTTCGCCCCGCCCCCACCAGCACGCGCCCGCTCCCAGACAGGTGTTTTCCCAACTCCTGAGACTGAGGATTTTGGGGAGTGTCTGAGCCAATAAGATTTCCCTTTGGGGTGGGGGCGGGGGAAAAGGCGTGGCTAGTTGGGTCAGAGCGGGGGCGGGGTTTTCGCGGCTGAGCAGAGCCAGCCTGGTGGCGTGGAGGGTTGTTTTATCCGCCCCCCTCCACCTTTTTTTTTTTTTTCCCTCCCGGAGTCTTATTAATTTCTCTGTGGGGCTGCAGCTGGAGACGGTGGAGCGTTGGAAATGACGCTCGGAGCTTTAATTACCGCAGCCGCCGGACAAGTGTGAGGAAAGCTGACAGGAAAAAGAAGGACAGGATCGGGGGAGAAGCGAGAAGCTTCCCCCCACTCCCCCCGCCCTCCTATTCCCTCCCAATTTGGACTGGAGGTGCAAGGAAACTGAAAAGGGAGCCGAACATAGCCCGGCTGGGGGGAGAGGCCGGAAACCTACCGCCTCTTTGCAATCAACTTTTTTTGGAAACCTTTTTCTCCCTTCCTTTTTATTGTTGACCAACCAGTGAGAGAAAGTGAGGAGGGAGGGAGAAAGCAAAGGCTCACACAGGGAAATAGCTGCACAGTCCGGCCGGGAGAACCAGGCGCACACACTCGAGCACACTCCCACACGCGCACACAAGCGCGCACACTCACCCCCTCCTCCGGTCCCCGGCCCTGGACCCGCGGGCGCTGACTCGGTCGCCCGTGCTTGGAGCCGGTGCACCGCGCACGTCGCGCGCCAGTTCCCCTCGCGCCCCCAAGCGCGCCTGGCTGAGGAATCTCCTCTGCGTGCCCGAAAGGGGATATGCCATTTGGACATGTAATTGTCAGCACGGGATCTGAGACTTCCAAAAAATGAAGCTGGCGACAGGACTGTGGGTCTGGGTGAGCCTTCTCCTGGCAGCGGGGACCGTCCAGCCCAACGCTTCTCAGTCAGGTGGGTCGCGCGCGGTTCCTTCTCGCGCTCCAGTTGTTGAACCTGCTGCCGCTGGCTTGGCTGCGTCGGGTGGCTTCCTCGCCCCCTTCGCCCAGAGACCCTCTGGCTCCCAGGCATGGAGGGACCACTCCACCGGGGCCTCTTCCTTGGGCTTCCGTTCGTCCCTCTTTCTATCCCCAAACTTAACCTTTCTGTGTACCTGTGTTTTATTTATCGTGAAATATCACTTTGCGACCCTGTCCCTTTTCTCTCTCTCTCCTCAACCCCCTTTTTTCTTTCTCGCACGTTTTCTGTGATCCTAAGTGGGATCCCTTGTGGTCCCGCCTGTTGTGCGGGACATGGGAGACACAATTCCCGAGTTAGAGGAGACCGTTCTCTGGCCGTCCGGGCCCCCCCCAGAGTAAAAGCTTCCAAGAAGCGCGCACAGCCGGGGCTTCGGAAGGGCTGGAGTCCTGGGCGGTGTCAGCTGGGCCTCTTGAGAGCGGGACGGCTGTAGGGAGTGGAGCTCTGAGAGCGGGGCTTTGCACCTGTGTGTGCTGCCGGAGGCTGCTGCTTCCCCTGTCGCTGGAGCTTGCGGGGTCAGACTCGACTTGAGCCCAGCCTGGGCAGCTGGAGCGCGGCAGGAGGGCGCGCTTCGGCCCCGGGGCACAGAACTCTGGGCCTCCTACGCCGGCGTCCGGGAGCCTTCGCCCCACTGACAAGAGGGAGCTTGCTTGCCTGCGTGCTCTCTTTAAAAAAAAGGGGGGGGGGTTGACATACTTGAGCCGGGAGCCCGGCCTTCCCGTCGGTTGCTGTTTGGCTTCAGGAAGAGTTCTTCCTGTAGTTCAACTTGCTATTGGCCGGAGTCCCTCCAACTTCTCTGTTTACTGCCCGGCGCGGCTGCCGAGCCGACCCGTTTCGCGAATTGATTTAACCCGAGAGGCGGGCGCGACTGCGCTGCCAGTTTGCAGGAAGGCTTGAGCCCGAGGTACCTGGACAGGCAGAAGGCTAATTGACCCCCGAGAGGCAGTCGGGTGGGGTTGGCGCACCGCGGCGGGCAGGGCTAATGACAGCACCTGCGGTGCGAGGTTGCTCAAAGTTTCTGACACTCGAGTTTCCTGGGGTTGAAAGTGGGACAGGAAAGGACGGAGGACCGGTGACTTATGCAGCCAAAGGGGGCCTTTTGGAGGGCGGGGGCGATTTCCGGAACCATCCGGGGCTGGTCGCGGGAGCGTGGGAGGCAGCTAGAGGAGATAAAGCCCCCGGGAGTGGCGATAGGAGAGCTTCAGGCCCCCGGAGGGTGTCCTTCTGACCTCACCAAGAAAACAGCGCGCTGTAGTTTTCCCGCTCCGCCCCCGCCGCTGCCGCCTACCCCTCCTAGCCTAGTAAATAACAAGTTACAATCATCGAGCCTTTCAAAATGACCTTCGAATGCCACCAGTGTGCGCCGTTTGTACTAGCCGTTTGCACCCTCCCAAATACTCCGAAATTCTTCATGCATACCAGGTCCCGCGCGCTCCAGCCACCTCCGGAATTACACCAACACGACTTGAGATTCCAAGCGGCCTCTTAGATACATCCCTTTTTATCTCCCTCCCCACTCCGAGACCCTTCATATTTTCCCTCAATGGGTTGATTATGCACATTGACCCATTCAAAAGCATTTGCGACCGACGTGCAGACTTCGCCGAGAGGAATTTCTACGAGGCAACCTACTGGGGGCTGTCTGGTTCAGCCTCAGCCGCTGGGGGACCCGGCTCCGAGTCCGCAGCAATTTGGTATTAACTGTGTGGCTCAGGGTTGAGCTATGCCGAAAAGCCCTTTTCAGAATTTCTGCAAAGAATGTAATCCAAATTAGTTCTGCAGCTGTCTTCTTCCTCGTCTCAGGCGACACCGCCTCGCGCCCTCGCTGGTCTCTTCTCGCTTCCCCCCGCGAATTGTCAGACCCACAAGTGAGCCCATTTAGAGCGCGAGGATTAGCGTGCCATTGTTGTTCCGTGTGTGACTCTGTACTTGAAATTCTAGGGGCACAAAGGCGAGCCTCGCTTGTTCAAAACACAAAGTGATCTAAATGAAAGGGCCGCACAAAGAAAAGCTCTCGGGTGCATCCCTGGTATAACTGCAACACGCATGCTAAGGTGATCCACTGAAAACTGTAAATGCCCCTAGGGACTTCTTTTTTTTCACCCTCTCCCACCCCCACCCTGCCGCACCTGGCAAGGAAAGTTCAGCTGGTTTTAATATAGTGTTTTTATAAAACCGAGTTACTGTCTGGAGTATGAGTGAGGCTCTGCGTGTTTGTGGCTGTGTATGTGGGGTTGTATGTTCCCAAGTAAATACATACTGCGTGTCTTCCCTCTCGTGGTTAGCAGTCAGTAGCAGTTTGGAGGAGTTTGTTTTGGTCCAAATGAGAAATTAAGTGCGGATAAGTAAACTAAGCTGCCAGAGGGCGACAAGATGTTGAGTGAATTGCTTTTAGATGAAACAAATTAAGGAAACGAGGGAAGACAATCTGCTTCTCGCATTATTAGACACGCTTGGAGTTCAGGGGAAAGTGGCATATTTTTGAAATGCTAATTTCTTAAGCAGAAGGAATGCACCTTATTTACTGCTCTATGTGCACAGAATAAAGATATGGGTGGGGGTGGAGATTCTGTTGTATAGATCTAAGATATTTATTAAAATAATTGTAATGGAAAAGGATCTGTGTATTTTTTTTTTCTTTTGCTTGGGGAAAAAATCAGCTTTAGAGAAGATAATTTTTAAATAAATCTTGAGGACTTTGTCTCATTTCCAATAATTCATTTTATCTAGAAATAGTATATATAGCCAAAGGCCCTTTATATAACTATTATAAAGCCTTTACTACCAAAAGGGATAATTTCAAAATTTTTCTTTTCCTGGCATGATTGAAAAATAATATCACCTTTGTATTGAAATACAATATATAATATTGAAACAATGCTCTTACATACCTCAATAGATATGGAATGAACAAGTTCAATTTCCATTTCTTATTTGCAAGTAACTTAGTTCTGCTTTTCATACTATAAAATAACACATTTTTCCTCCCTACATATGTAAGATATATCTTCAAACTTAAGGTTGGGCTTTTTTTTCTACATTTGAGAAGAAAAAAGTTAATAAAACTTAGATAAATGATGAAAAAGATGTTAAATACATTAAAAAAAATCTTTCCTACATGTATTTACTGTAAGCACACCCACAGGATACTGTTTTTTTTCCTTTTAATTTTGAAATTTTATATATGTAAAAGATCTTTTTAGAAGAAGGTATTTTTTTCTTCAGAATGCTTCTAAACAAATTTATACCTATCATAACTGCAAATAACTTGAAAATACTATGATATGGACTGTTATGATAAAATTGACTGTGTCATGATTCCTCATCTTCCAATTTTTTCCTTTTAAATTAAACTTCTTTTATTTTAATCATTCATGCATATAAAGTCAAATTTTTTTGAAAATCAATACTTACTGCTTTAAATATTTTTTCATTTAGTCACTGGAAATGTGTCTTAATTAAGAAATTACATTAGAATATTTACCAGGGCATGCACTTCATGGAAGATTTATGTATTTTTTACACTAACCTGAACACAGTAAGTTTGCATTGGCTGATTTTTAGAGTTTGCATTCATTTGAGGGAAAAATCATATTTCCTCCTTAAAGTGAATTCAAATATTTAGTATTCATGAGCTTTCATGCCTTTAGTTCTTAAATAGAAGTACTATTTATCATCTGTCTTATGCTTTCACCCTTTCCATTACTATAGATTCTTTCTTTACATCTTATTATTTATTGAGTTTACACATGTGAATATATATATTTTTCCCTCCACCACTAAGTGTATTCTTTTTTGTGTGTGCCTTTCCCAGCAACCTGCCACTCAGCCACTGCAGGAGTCCTCTGAGCCAGTTTTCATTCTTTCTGATAAATCTGATATGGCTGGTTGGCCGGACAATTGCAAGCCATTCCATTGCGCAGATTTATTCCTGAAAGAAAATAAAAAGGCATCGATCCAAGATCACTAGCACATCTCAGAAACCCTGACTCCAAGGCCAGATCTTTCTACAGAGAAGTCCCTTTTTCCATATCTCTTTCTCTCTTTTCCCCTCTTGACCAAGGATGGAAGGTAGACTACCCCCATTTAAAAAATACTAGGGATGCAAGGAATTATGCTCTAAATATTCTCTGAAGCCTTTGGATTAGAGCTACCTTAGATTAATGACTATGCCAGGTGCACATTTTAAACAATAAATTGAATTAGAGTGCCTTAAACATTACAATGCTTTAAAGTGGTGTCATGTTTATATTATTTCAAGCCAGTTATTAAGAAAATTTAACATATTAAAAATAGCGACGTTTTTGCTTTATTTTACAGTGTTCTGCTGCTGTTGGATATCTATGTGTAATTTGTAAGTGCCTAAAACATAAATGAAGCAATGATCAAAAAAGATGTTCTGCTCCTGCAACCTTATTAGCACTTGCTGTTTGATTTCACCCATTTGAGAGATACTGCTTTATAAAGATGTTAATGTTTACATTAAAATTAGCTTATACATGTTCAAGCCTACAGCTGTTCTACAAAAATTAATTGTCAAGCATATTCCACTGTTATCTTTTACAATGATCTGAGTATGTATTCAGGGCAGAATCTAATTATATTATAAACTTTTCTTCAGGCTATATCATTTTAGGAATGTTCTTCTATGTTACATTTGACCATATGGAACAAAATTGAACCTTATATCTAATACTCATTTTCTGGATTATTTTAAATATTGGGCAGTTGGAGTAAAACCGTACTTTTCATGCTTCCTAACATAGTTGTTGACTGGAGTTTACATTTATACTGACAATTCCTTAATTTTCTTTACTATTATTTTTTAATGAAAAGGTTCTACGTCAATGTTTCCTGAGCCTGTAGCTGTGCTACCTACTTTGAAGGAGACATTGACTGCCTGTTTTGTGGTTAAGTTTGACATAGGACATAGCTAA